TGATGTTTTGGGTTTTTTTCAAGTCCTTTCTTGGACACTTTCTTCACTGGGAGCCCTCCGAGAAGAGCAACTTTCTTTTTGGTCTTTTCCACGTGAAGATGGGTTGGTGATTTTGAGTTTCAGAACTTCAGCAGTGGGAATAAACCGATGTTTGAAAACTTTAGGCAGGACGGGGGGTGGGTTGTTTGCAAGGATGGGTGGTTTCAGGAGGGTGGTTTTTTTCCTTTCTTATTTTATTTGGGGGGGCTGCTGGAGGGGGAATCGCATTACCGGACTGAAGTCACAGATCATACACGCATATAAAGCGCCAGTCCTACGGTTTTAATTATGATATTTAGCATTTCTTCCCTCACCCCCCACACCCTTCCCCCTGCTTGATAGTTCTTGGGAATAGACACGATTTAAGTGTGAAACGCTGGAACATTTCTAACCCACGGCGGGGGGGGGGGGCACATCCCAAGCCTAGTTTACAATTGTTTACATTTTTGTTTTATTTTATTTTGGGGTGTGTTTGTGCTCCTTTTACTTTTTTTTTTTTTGTTTTGTTTTCCTCCCCTAAAAGGTCCTCTTTTTTTGTCGTTTTTATTTCATTCCCCTTGTAGGACCGGCATGATGGAGTGCCCAGCCACAGTTCCAGGCTGTCCCAGCTGGGATCCGTCTCCCAGGGACCCTACTCCAGCGCTCCTCCGCTCTCCCACACCCCATCCTCGGATTTCCAACCGCCTTATTTCCCACCCCCCTACCAGCCTCTTCCTTACCACCAAAGCCAGGACCCTTACTCCCATGTCAATGACCCCTACTCCCTAAACCCCCTGCATCAACCCCAGCAGCACCCCTGGGGACAGAGGCAGAGGCAAGAGGTGGGATCAGAAACCGGGTCACTGCTGCCACAGCCTCGGGCCGCCCTGCCCCAGCTCTCGGGACTGGACCCCAGGCGGGACTACCACTCAGTAAGGAGGCCAGACGTCCTCCTGCACTCAGCTCACCATGGCCTTGACTCCGGCATGGGGGACAGCCTTTCCCTGCACGGCATCGGACACCCAGGGATGGAGGAGGTCCAGGTAAGGCACCGCGGTTCTTTCTCCTGGGCTATGCAGACGCCTTCCAGGCTGGAGCCCTCATCCCTCGGCTAGAAACGGTGGCTGAGGGTTTTACAGCAATATCCTTTTTCCGCACTGGGATTATAACTGTCATGCTCCCCCTCCCTGGCCTTTTCTTTCTCTTTTATATATTTTTTTTAAAGAGAACTTCTTTCCTCGCTGTCACGCACAGGCTGTGCTGTGCAAACCCTCCCCTACATAGCAAGCCGGCAGAGTGCCGGGGGAAGGCAGGCACGTTGCTCGAAACATTCCACGTG